GACATCGCGTCTTGTGCCTACGTACTTTCATCTAGAATGAAAGATCAGAGCAAACGTAGTTCGGGTGGACATGAAACCACGGGTAGACTAAGTGTTTTAATCGAGTAGAGTTATACATTCGTTCCAGCAGTAAGGGACTAAGCCTGTTTGCGGTAGAGTTGAAGCTTAATAACACTCTTTTCTGAAAAAGGTTTCCGATTAATCCCGAAGGAAAAAAGGTTTGAATTTGTTTTGGGTTTTTTAGTGAAGTGAATTAATTCGATTTGTGATTCACGTTGCACTAAAGACTATGAATTAATTCGATTTAATGAAGTGAATTAATTCGATGTGTTAACCGATTAACAACTTCAAAATTTTGAATTTGGCGCCTTTTGATGGGAAATCTGTCCATTTGCCCTGTTTCAACTGTTTGGAGATCTGTTTAGCTGCTGAACCTCATTTTGACCGTTATCACTATGAAAATGCTTGTCATGAGCCTGAATTCTGAATCCTGATCTGAAATTAACCTGCAAAATACAATCGGTCGCTTGACCGTTGGACAAAATAAATGTTTGATCTTCTGATGCTCGCTGTTCAGTTGCTTGCATTGGAATGAAACCTGAGCCACGGGAACCTGGATCCCCTGCCTCGAGAACAAAATGCTATACAAATGCAGGGATGCAAAAATGCGAAATGCAAAGAAACAAAAATCGGCCAAGAAAAAGGTCGGGCAAATTTTGGGGTGCTACAATAGGAACAAACTTGAATAAAATCCAAACAAAATACTCAAATCAAGTTGAAACAAACACAAGTCAGGATGCAAAAGCTCATGGCAAAAAACAACTCAAAGCAACACCAATTGTATCAAATAATGCAAGGTGTACAACTTATCGAGCAAACATCGAGGGTCCATAAAAAGCCAATGAGAAACAAATGAAAAATGATCATCAAGGCCTCAAACCAGCCCACAAATAAGCGTCAATCAAACACCTAAGTGTGAGAGGAAAATTGGTCCTATGGGGTTTTCAAATGGGGGTCAATGATCAAGTTCAAATCAAGGTATAAACCATAAAACACCTTCAATCATAAATTCAATTAAAAATACTAAAAATAATTTAAAAATAAAATAAAAATATGGAAAATAATCTCAACATATTAAAATAACAGAAATGCATTTTTTGGGATTTTTATAAAATGTAAAACTATTTAAAAAAGAATAAAATTGAAAATGCTAGAAAATAAAATAAAAAGAAATTAAAACATGAAAGAGGGGTCTAGGAGTAATTAGGGTTTGAACTGAAATCCTTTGTTACACGCACATGGGCCAAATGAAGGGGGGTGGGATTATCAAAGCGGCAAGGCCCAAGACATAAAACACACTCAGTTTAATGAAACGCTATGTTTCATTAAACCATGTGGCAACCACGTAGGAGTAATGCCACACGAGCAAGTCAACAAGACAAGTTAGCCTACACCTCAGCTCAAGCCTCAGACGCCGGAGCCCTAGCTCCGGTCGTCTTCTCAGGCGAGCATCCCCGGAGCTAACTGAAAACCACCATAAAAATCAAAACTCCTTGCACCAATTTAAAGCATTTTTCACATAGAATAAGAATATGGTCTTAGTTTCTTAAAAAGGTCCTCGCAACATAGTGAAATCAAGCCACGAAGTTTTGATGTTCAAACTGAAATTCTAACAAACAACCACTAAAATGATTCAAACATGGCCTACATGAAGTAGGGCTTTAGATGCACCAGTTATGCTTCTAAATAAATTCCTAGAATGAGAGGTTTAAAGGGTGGAATGTTATCTAACGGAGCTGCTCCGTTGGCTCTTCAAACTTGTTGCAAGCTTCACTTTAATGCCTCTAATATCTTCCTTGATCTTCAGTGATGATGAATTGAGAAATGGCTTGAAGGAAAACCCATGGAAAACTCATATTCAAAGAGAGAGAAAACCTTGAAATTGCTTGATAAATCTCACACCTCTGCGCAATTCCTTGCCCTCTCAGGCATTAGGGTTCACTTATGGCTTACTTGTAAGGGCTTAAGGAGTCCCATGCAGGCCCATGATGATTGGTTTGTTTGATTTCCAATTTTTGCCAAAAACATCCAAGTATGTTATGCACACATGGTTGGAGGTGTTATGACTTATTCCATTCACTCTTCTTGTCAAGTGGGGTTGAGGAAAAGAATAATGGCCATTTGGAGAATTGAAAATGAATTGGAATGTGGTTTTGGATAATTACTCCTTATGGCATGAAATTTTGAAAAATGGCATGACATATGGTTCTATATTGGCTCAATTTTGGTAAAGAGTGGCATGACCATTACATGATGATGATATGGTGTGAAAAATTCAAAAACTAACTCATTTGATGACTTGTAATGGAAGAAATTCAAATCATGTTCAAAAATCAAGTTTTCATGCTCATTATGGTTCATATGATCACATAAATCGTCAAACATCATGGATTTTTAGTTCAAAAGGATGTTAAGGCAATGTGACACAACTTTCATGTGGCACAAATTTGGATTAGAGGTCTTGAAGTTCATTGAATTGGTCATTGAGGTGAATGACCTAAAACTTGGTTTCCAAAAATCCCCTTGACTTGAGAAAGCCATAACTTGAGCTTCACACATGAGAATGATGAGTTCTAGCACTTTTCGGAAATCTAATACAATGAGGAACAACTTTCATGTTTGAGGAAAGATGAGGAAGATCTTGGTTCCTTGTGAAAAATGCCTTGGAAGTGAACTATCTTTGAATACCTCTAAATTCTCTTCATCTGGTAACACCAACTTGTTGACACCATAACTTGAGATGTACAAACCCAATGTATGAGTTATTGTACTCAAAAGAAAGCTTGGAAGATGATGAACAAGTCTCATGTTTCATAGTGAAATTTTTCCTTGAAGTTAGAGACTAAAAGAGGGGATTTTACACTTGAACTCATCTGCAACCCTAATTTAGTAACTTCTTGAGCTCTTGAATCTTCTTGACTTTGCTTCCTGATGGCAATATATATGAATTATGATGACTTCTCATGGCTTCAATGATCAAGAACCAAGTCTTGAGCCCTCTCAAGTCCACATTTGACTTTTGGTTGACCAAATGAAACCCTAACACCTTATCCATTGACTGAGGTTCTTGCAAATGATTTATGTGATCATACATCTTCCATAGAGGACCCCTAGGGTGAAAAATAAGCTCTTGAACCATGTCCCATCTAAGGAAGTGACCTCATGTGCCTCCACACATCCTCAAGATAGGAGGTGACACCCATACACAAACTTTCTCCCCTCAAGGAGCTTTGAGACCCACCTCTGATGATGATGGATGCTTGATGGATTGAAAATGTAACCTCACTTGAGCTTGAACATGAAACTCTTCTCTTGAGTGGCAAAACAACATCTTGATCCTCTGTCTAAAACCAATGATATGCAAATGAAAATGCTAAATGATATGAAACATAAGCTAAGATATAATAGAGAGGTTGGGAAAATTTTGGGGTGAAACACATACAAACATACAGAAGGTTCCTGTAGAGTACTACAAATGTTTAGGATGTGAAATACCTACCCTAAGCATAACCAATCCCCGATCCCCGAATCTCTTAGCATTGTTGTTACATCACACAAAAGGTCTTTATTTATTTAACCTTTCCTTTGGATAAATAAAAGCCTGGTTGTGAATTTAATGAATTAAGATTCAAGTTAATCAATAGCTTGGCATCATGATTCTCACTGCAACATAACTCATATACTCTATTCCTACGATTGGTTAATGCTACAATCATATCCTAAAGAGACTTTGATATCTGCATTAATTCTACCAGTACATTGCTTCTGGAAGTGCTAGACATTTGGGGACCTCTAGGGAGATCATTCTCATTTGACAGATTAAAATAATATTGGGGATATACATGTCTGAAACATATGACCCAACAAACAACCTATAACTAAAAGCTTGTGGACTACCACTGACACCCGCCACTTATTCACTAGTGATAATGCCAGGTCTTTGACTCACCAGAATATTAGAAATTAGTTCATGAAAGCTTATAGGGGCCTTAACAGCGTAAGACTCAACTTGCTTAAGAACTTGATCAAAGACATATTATCCAAAGTTAAAAATAGCCATAGTTCCTAACTGGTATATAAGTTTAGCCAGAGAAGTTGTAATACCTAAGATGTGATTGGTATATTCCCATTTTACAACTCCAATTACATTGTGGAAGGCATATTTGACACTTAGATTGGGTGTGGGGAGCAGTCATCTGTGAGGCCAATCTTCATAAGCACCTCTAGTGATATCCAGAGCAATTTTTTTAATATTAGGAACCTTAACAACAATTAATAGTTTGCCACGACCCAAATAATGATTGACGACAGTAGGTGAAAAACCAATGCAACACCTACACACATGAACTTTCACGTAATCTTTATTGCTAGCTTTGTTGAAATTCTTAGTTAATAATGAATTATCTCACAAGTTTGAGGGTAAAAGGGACTTATATTAGAGACATACTTCATCATCTAAGCATCTTGTAGCAGCTCTGTAATCTCCTAACACTTTAATGCTTCATAAAAAAGTTCCATTTCAACCACAGTTCTTCTATGGTAAACATACTTCCATTTCAATAAACTTTCATGGAATGAAACCTTGTCCATTAAGGTAAGAGGGACATCATAAGGTATCTTTTTTCTACCAAAATTCTTCCTATTTTTCTTCACATGAAGAACCAAAATTTCTTCCACATCTTCTTCGACAATCTCAACAATAGGGGAGTCCTTTCTCTTAGGGGTGACCTTCTTCTTTGGAGTGGCTTTCCTCTTGAAAAAAGACTTAATAGTACCAACATCATCCTTCTTTTGTTTATCTACAATTTCTTTCTTCTTATTTTTTGGTGTGACTACCCTTTTGGTGGGGGTTTTCTTGGGTTTTAGTAGGAGCGTTAGGGACGTCCACAGAAATAGTTTCAACATTTTCATTGTCACTTACAGATTGAACATTATCATCCTCATTTATTGTTAATAAAAATGTCCTCGTCATCTTTCTCAGCATAAACATATTCTTTGTCATTGACAGTTTTATCAGTGTTAATCTTAAAGTTGTTGCTATCAATGTTCTTCTTGTCTTCTACCACATCTGCTTTGAAAGCAACTCCCTTGATTTTATTTCTAGGTATGTCACTTATGCCCATTTGAAAAGTTAGTAATAAGTCAATAAGTTCATCCACTTTGATCGAACTGATGTATTGAACTTCCTCTATAGTTGTAACTTTCATTTCAAACGTTCTTGGAAGTGATATGAGGATTTTTCGTGCTAGTTTTTCTTCAGACATTTTTTCATCAAGTGCAAAAAAAATGTTTGTCATGTCACGGACACGAACAAAGGATTCAGTTATGGTTTCATCTTCCCCAATCCTTAGTTTTTCAAACATGGTGGTGAGAAGTTGATGTTTGGACATCCAAACTTTTGAGGTTCCTTAATGAGCATTTTTTTAAATCTCCCAGGCTTCTTTGGTTTCATCACATGTGTTGATAAGATGAAAAAATTTCTTGTTAACACTATTAGATATACCGTTGAGGGCATGAGAGTTTCTATCATGAGAGCTTCCCAATAGCCATAGTTAGTACCATGTAAGATAGGTGGCCGATAAATAGATCGTTTTTTCTTTTTCGTCATCCATTTGAACATAACATGTATGTTCCCTGGAGCTCACCCAAGTAGAACAGGGTGTCTACTTTGATGCCAATTGTAATTTTTATTACCTTCAATAAAGATGTCAAGAATAAAGTGCCAAATATTGTGTGTGACAATATGGATAAAGTTACATTATAATGCATATAAAAGAAAATATAACACAAAGGATTGGTAACCTAGTTCAGTGAAATAACACCTACATCTGGAGAACATTAACCCAGGAACGGAAATCCGCTATTAATAGTAAAAGTAAAAATTAGTCTTAGATGAACTCTTCTGGTTCATTGCCTTTTTCTTAATACTATCTGTGTGTTTTTATTTAGGACTCACCCTAAATATTTTGGCCACTTGGATGGAGCGAGAGTAGAATACATAGTGAGAAAGTTAGTAAGTCCAGAAAGTTGTGCGTTCATGATTTCCCACATGCTCTATCAAAGCATAATACTCGTCGATGAATGTGATATAGGTCATTTTGGTAAAAACAAATTCGAGTTTAGTGCTTGGTCTTGATTATTTTTGAAGGCTCAAAAGGTTTTCCAGTTGGTTGAAGACCAACAATAGCGAAGATGTCAAAGACTGTATGGGTTACCATCCCACAAGGTAGGTCAAATGTATTGTTGAAGGTGTCCTAGAAGCAAATGGCTGCAAGGAGCATGTGAAGGTTGTACTTAGGGCCAACTCTTGAGAGTTGTATCAGGTAAAAAATGCCTTGGTCTCTCTAAAAGTGTTTTTTCTTTTTTTGAACCCTATTCAACCAATGATATAAGAGTAGTCTTCATCAGTCATAAAAGATGACGGAAATACTGTATTATTAAAGAAACTAAAATTAAAAGGTTCATCCCGGAACACTAAGGGTTCATACAAAGGGTAGTTAGGGAAAAAATGTTTCAGAACATGGGGTTTCTTAAACTGCCTAGGAAGGGGACCCATGAAAGCAAAAGTTGTACCTGAAATGGAGTAAGGAATCTGTATGTCAGAATACCAAACCTTTCTTCTCCTATCTTCCATGGGAGGCTCCGGGACATATGTGTGATCATCTATAAGAAGGGCTTAGTCAATGATAGAAGAAAAGGGAGAATGTGAAGCATGCTTGAAATAAATTTTAGGAGCCATTTTTTATTCTCATAAGGTTTTAGGAAAGAAATGCCTGTATGAAGATAACAGAAGTAGCATAAGCTCTCTAGGATTTTTGCTTTCTTTTTTCAGGGAAGGAAAGAGTGAAAGATAAGAGATTTGATAATAAAGGTTTTAAATAACCAAAAGGGGAAGAGAACATTTCATTTTCCCTCTAATATATTGGACAAAAGGTACATTCAGATCGACAGTTGGCAATAAGAGTTACGGGAAAAAAATGATAATAATGAAATTAAATGATTTCTTTTTAATTTCATATAAGTTAATCGTTCATTAATATCCTTCAAAATTTGGGAAGACGATGATCATTCGTGTGCACATTTGTGACATAACAGTTTGGTAGAATGTGGTTGTGATGACCAATAAATAAATAAAATTGTCATACCTTAATTTTTAACCCTAAGATCCCACCTCATTTGCATCTCCACAATGCGTCAAAATCACAAACTTGGTTCTCATTTAACCCTCTCATCATTGGGTTTGTCTTTGCAGAGATCACCAAACACCTTTTGGTGTATCTTTTTCATTTATTTTTATATGATTTATGTTTCACTAACTACTAATCAAAATATCAAAAAAATATTCTTTGTCCCTTTTGTTTCTTTGCAAGGTAGGGTGCTATATCAAGAACCCCAAGCATGATTCATCAGCTAGGGTTTTGCTCCCTCAAGGTTAAAGTGTGGTTAAATATTAATTCCCAAGATCTATCTCATAAAACCATGGCTTCTAATATCAAAGCACAAGGTTTCAAGCATCATTCAATCTCATTTTGAACAAAGATATCTCAAGGTTTAGTAGCTTGTCTCTCAAGAAAAGTCAAAGGTTCGTGTGTTTATTTCCATGCCTTCGTTAACAAGTTACCTTAAGCTTTGGTCAATTTAATCAAAGGAAATTCAAGGGCACATTACTTTAACTTCATATGATCATTCATGTACCTCAAAATTCTAGAAAAGTCCAAGTTTACAAGTTGATTCAAGGAGGTTTGACCTAAAAAGTCAACATTTCAAGTCAAAGTTCAAAAGGTCACAACTCCTTCAATTCTCAATATTTTTGAATGTTTATATGACTCTTATCAAAATCCTCTTCAAATTATTTTTATAAGGTAAGAGCCAATTATGCATGGAAGATCACCAAAAGTTTGAAGACATTAGAGGTCATTTGTGGACTTAGTGAAAATTTCCCTATTTTCAAGTGACTTTTTCTCAAATTTCAAGAATCACAACTTCTTCAATTTTCAACATATGGAGCTTATTCCTTTTGTATAATATCATTTGTGATACCCTCTACAATATTACGTCAATGGTCAAAGTTAAATTGTGCTTGGAAATCCATGGAATTCATTGATACATTATAGGTCATTTTCAGCCATTTGGATTTAGAATTTTTCAAGTTTGGTTTTCCAGATTTTTGTGCCAACTTCAACATTACATAAATTTTTGCTGAAGCATCCAAATTTTTACGGTGAAAATCATGATACCAAGCTATTGATTAAATTGAATCTTAATTCTTTAAATTCACAACGGGACTTTGATTTATCCAAAGGAAAGGTTAAAGAAAGAAAAACCCTTTTGCGCGATGTTAGATTCGGGGATCGGGGGTTGGTTATGCCTCAGGTAGGTATTTCACATCCTAGACATCTGTAGTACCCTACAGGAACCTTTTGTATGTTCATATGCTAAACTTGCTAATGGTTATGTTATGTCTTGGAATAGGGTATAAGTGTAGGTAAAGACCTAAGGATAGTTTCTAAGTTTGTTCGCAAAGATATTGCATCCTCTGCCTACGTATCCTAACTAGGATAGAATCAGAGCAACCGTAGTTCACCTTACAAAGGATTAATAAGTACTTGACTATAGTCAAGACTCTAGGGGGACAAACATAACAATGCTTGTGGAGAGTTTAACAAAACTCTCTATTCTAAGTTGTCCACTCAAAGGATATTGACTTTCACAAAAGCCAAGAAGGGAGTAAGTAATCATAACAATGATTCTTACATAGAGTTAACAAACTCTATCTTAAAGTTCTAGTTGAAAAACACTCCTAACAAGGGCTAGGTCTTTTAGACTTAAAGCAAAAGTCTAATGGATATTAGGTTCTTACTTAACTAAGTTAGGTTCAAGGTGACTTAACAAAGTCAAAGGGGGGGGGGGGGGGTAATGAGCTATCTATGACCCAAGGGTCACTAGAGAGACTTTCCTTTGGAATGGGAAAATATGAGGCAACTGGATGAGAACTAACAAGTTTCATCACTTGGGGGATAAGTTAACAAAGTCAAAAGCACACACAAGTATTCTTTCAAACAAGATGAACATATAAAAAAGTATGGTAACAACCAAGGAAGAGATGCAAGCATGTGACAACATCAAGCAAAGATTACAATCAAGTCAAATGGTTACAACCAATAGTGCATAAAGATATTACAATATCTATAGGGGGAATATGATAGCGGTTCCTACAATACCAAGCATAGAAGGTATATTAATTTTAAAAACATCTTAACAAAGATGAAGAGCAATGAGGTAACAACCATAAAGACAAAACAACAAAACATGTCAAACAAGTTTAAATGCAAGCAAGTCACAACTTGAGGCTTGCATATATAGGGATCAAAGGATGTCAAATGTAACAACATAAGACCAACAATCATACATTGATGACAATCAATACATAAGAATGCAAGAAATGTTATAACATATCAAGTAAGAAATTCAAGGTTTCATGGGGAAACACATACACGTTTATGGTAACAACCAAAACAAAGCAAGCCCTAGCATGTTATGGTTCTAACAAGACACGTAAACAAGTAGAGAAGACATGGTGAACACACTCAAGAGGTTACAACATCAAGAGGTTTACAAAGAAAGTTCAAAGTGTAGTTCAATTAGATACATTCACAAAAGCAAGGATTTGACCATGATAATACTTTGAATCAATCAAATTTTAATCACTCAAGCATGTTAACAAACATGTGCGGATCAAACACCATCAATCATACAAGATAAATCAAATGGTAGTTGAAAAAATTTCAAAAGAAGCAAGGTGAAAACCCTGAAAACAACATGATTTCCAAGTGAGATAAAGTATTTCTAGGATAGTCATCCTTGACTTCGTCACTTACTATTTAAAAGTAGACATGATGAAGAACAATTTTCAAACAAAATGGGGCAAAAATGTTGAAAAATGAGTATGTTATGATGATTTTAAACCTGAGAAGAAAACATGAAAAATAAGTGATAAAAAATAAGGAAATGTCTTCCTCAAGGGTTGAACAAGCGCTCTCTAGTTCATAGGTCCAAAACATCACCAAATCAGCTAAGGCACACGTGTGACAATTCAAGGAGAAAGAGATAATACATGTTAAAACATGAGAAAATCACAAAGAATGCCAAAAGAGTTGTCCTCAGCCAGGATCGAACTCAAGCAAGCAAGGCAAAGCATACATAAGGCGCGTAAGTCATAACCACTAGGGTGGTGATACATGCAATGTATCAAACTACTCTAGAAATACATAGACCTTCAAGTCATGATTTTTGGGCAAAAATGCAAGTCAAACCAAACAAGAAAATACCAAAACGTGAGCATCTCAAACTTGATCAAAACTCCATGGAATTTAACAAAATTTAGGTCTAA